CTATCCATCCATCCATCCATCCATCCATCCATCCATCCATCCATCCATCCATCCATCCATCCATCCATCCATCCATCCATCCACAATAAGAAAAAGCCTGAAAAAAGATCTAATTATCTATCATAAAGAAAATGTATTTTCCAATTCTCTGTGCGGCCCTTTGATTGCTTTAAACATCTTGATGTGGACCTTTGGAAAAAAATGTTGCGGTTCCCAACCCTGGTCCTTGAGGAACACCATCCAGCATGTTTTAGTTGTTTTGCTGCTCCAACACACCTGATTCAGTGATTTAATTACTTCCTCAAGTTCTGCAGAAGCCTGTTATTCACACATGCATTCAATTCAGGTGTGTCACAGCAGAGAAACAACAAAAACATGCAGGATGGCGTTCCTCAAGGACCAGGTTTGAGAACCACTGGTTTAACATATTGATGGGTGCAGCTGATTGATCCTCACATGTGAACGCAGCAGCTCTGATCTCACTTCCTGTTTCTTCATCATGTTCTTCTTTAACACTTTGGTAAACATCATGCAGCCCCATCATCAGGGCTTGGATAACTTTGGACCAGTGATGTGATGGTAACCTTGAAAATGGATTTAGTGTTGGTGACTGTGTTCTTCTCCTCTCCCTCAGCAGAACCCAGCTCAAACCTCCAGTGGAGACTTGTCCCCCACAGGGGTCTACCTCCCTCTGGGTCAGAAACCAGAAGCTGTTGTCCACGCAATGAAGGTGAACAGACTCTCCTGTGTTCATGCTTTAAACTCTGCGCTGATCTAAATGTTTAAATATCCTGATGCATGCTCAATAATCCAGTTTAAATGTTTAAATGTTAAACTAACAACTCCTGTGTGGTTTTGTGCGTTTAGGTGCTGGAGGTTCACGAAGGGCTTGACAGGCAGAGCTTGAGGGAATATGACGAAGATCTCAGTGAGAAGGAGAAGGCCATTGTCAGAGAGATGTGCAACGTAGGTTTAATTTTAACTTTTAGTTTTAAGATCTGAGATGACCTTAAGGTTTCAAAATGAACCCGAATCTGAAGAAACCAGCTGATCAGACAGAAGTTTTAAACATCAATTTTTTATTTTTTATTTTTTATTCAGCATCCATCAACTCTGAGCTGCTGTTTGAGACATGAATGCTCAGAGTTATTGACGTCTCTGACTGTTTCTTCCTCACAGGTGGTTTGGAGAAAACTCGGCGATGCTGCCAGCTCAAAGCTCTCAGTCCGACAGCAGCTGTCAGGAAACCAGCTCAAAGAATCAGCGCAGTAGGAGAGAAAACCAGTAAACCCCCAGTTCTGCAGTTTGTGGTGGGTAGTGGAGGAACTGTTCCTCCAATCTGGGCTGCAGTCAGAGGTTTAACTTGATGAGCTGCTGTACGAGGCCACCGAGTGGACACACACTGCAAACACACAAAGATTGGACTTTTTGTAGCTTGTAATTTGGGGATCAAGGCACTTCAGCTCCTGTAGGTCAATAATAAAATAATTAGATTTATTCCACCACACCGATTTGGAGTTTGATGTGTTTGAGTTAAAACACAAAATCAAACACAAAATCCCATTGGCTCATTTAAAATATAATAAATAAATATGCTTTAAATTGTGCTTTTCTGCATCATCTTCAGAAACAAGCTGTTCCACGTTGAACTGAGTGATTTGCTTTTAAAACCTGAACAGATTGCATGTCTGAAGAAATAAAAAAGCACATTTGACCCCTGAAACAGTCCATTGTTGCATAAAATCTAATAGAAATGTCTTCCACTCGTAAAACAGTGATTATTTTTAAATGTGCAGTGTGTAGCTGAGAATGTATTTTAGCAAAACTGGTTATCATGAAGATGATGACGAAAAAGCAACTTTTAAATGAGAAATAAAGTACTTTTTTTTGTAAAAGTGCATCTCTGTGATTGTGTGAAATGTGTAAGGTTTAACAAGTAGCCTAAAATATGGTAATTGTATTGAAACCGATACTGTTTTCAAATTAGCTGTGAGGTCTTTTTTTGATAGATGAACTTTCAGTAACATTTAGTGACAGATTTCAACCGTTGGCACTGACGCTGAATTATTTTTACGAGTTCCAGCTATTCAGGGAGAACTCTGAGGTGTATTCTTGTGTGCAATAAAGCAAGACAATGCAGCTATGAAGTATGCAGTGATATTTACAGATGAAAAAGTAGTGCATTTAAAGTAAGTGTTGGTTTGTTCCAGTTTGAGAGGGAATAGAGGATGCAGGTGTTGCAGAGACACTGCACTTCCTGAATCTGGTTTTGTCTGGATGCTTCAGTGGTGCCTCTCAGATATGAAGATAAATCAGTCTCAAAAGTATTCGCACAAGCAACAAGAGTGTAAAATAAATTCACAAGTGCACCACTTTTTTTTATAAAAGCATAAACAGGTTTTCAATTTAACATTTTCAATTTGCACAAGTAGGGATATTCTGTGCACATGAAATAGTCAAAAACTCGTGCACAAATCACCTGCTGTGGATGAATTAGTCTACACGAGCGCGCGGATCAGCTTGTCTGTGAATGAGACTTGAAATTTTCTTGCTGCTCCAGAATTTTTTCATTCATTCAACCTTTATTTAGACAAGTTAATCCCACTGAGCCTCGAGGACTCATTTACAAGAGAGACCTGATTTCAACAAAGAATGATGACAACAGTGGACAACAACAACAATAGACAGTTATAAAAAGGCATACAGATTATTATTATTATTTTTTATTATTTTATACAAATAAGATTGCAAAAAAGGTAACAAAAACAGCTCGATTATAAGGCGAATTCACTAAAGTAATGCTGCGTTCAAGGCAGGTGAAAAAATGGGACATCTGAATGTTACTAAATTTACTTAGTCACTGCATTTGAAAAATACTCATTGTGCACAACATAACTCCTAGATTAAAACTCATGTGCTTACATCAACATTACTAGATTCCAAAAACACTAATTAAGGAAACTGTAAAACAAACAAAACAAATAAATAAACAACCTAAAATGAGAAGTTATTCTTCAGCTGGAATTTTATTTATTTATTTTAAATAAAATTATCTATTATAATATAATATGACCCGGTAAATCAGCCACAACACAGGAGTGAAAGAAAAGAAGGTTTATCAGAAAAATAACTCCTGATGGGGGTCAGCTGAAATTGTGCAGTTTAAAAACTGGTGGGGACGCAGCAGCTTCAATGACGTCAGACAGAAGGAAGGTGTGGAGAGACGGAGGTACAGCCAGGTCACGTGATACGTGAACGCGACTTGTATGACCAACAAACAAACTATTTAGTTAGTGAGACCTGGTCCTTGAACCCAGAATCCGAGAGCGTGAATAAACAGACAGGTCAGAGAGATAGAGACTACAGTGCACGTGCAGCAGGAGGAAGACTGGGAGTGGCACAGGTGAGCTGAGTGAAGCTAATGAGAGTGAAGTTATAAGACAAACAGAAAACACATTTATGGGCATGGCTTGACATAAAACATGGATCACTACAGGAAAACTACATTTTTCTAGTAGTTTTTCCACAAGAAGTATAACGTAACCATTTTTGATGGTTATTTCACATGTACAGTCCACAAAGTTAACATTTTATTATTGTGGAAAAACTACCGGGAACACATTTCCAATATTTTTTTTAAATATGAACTATACATAAATAAATAAAAAAAAAAGGTTAGGTTATTCTGCCGTCTCAAAAACCACAGGAAAAACATATTTTCTAGTATTTTCTTCCTCTAATAAAAAATACCAGAAAAATGTATTTTCCTGTAGTTTTGACGGAAGAATACAAGAAAGATACTGTATTTTATCCAGTGTTTTTATCAGAGGTAGAAAATTCTGGAATATATATATTTTTTGTTGTTGTTTTACAAGCAAAATAATAACCCAGCTACAACACATTTATAAACTGACCAGTTAAACTCTTGACCCACTCTGGAAATCTGAAGCTCTGCTCCACATCCCATATGAAAGAAAACCACTTTCCTCCTCCTGAGCCCAAAGTTCATGCCATCAGGCTACATGTTTCAGTGATGTGACAATGATGCTAACATGTCTGATGTCACTTTTATTTGTTAAAACTGAAAACATGAACAGCACACTACAGTTATTTACGCACACAGTAGGAGGGTAATTGTAGGTTTCTGTGGTGACGATTCCATCGGCGCCAAACAACTAGTATTCACTGCAACTACAACCACTACTCTGGTGCTACGGCCTGCTATCATCCACAGCTCGTAAATTAAATGGTTGACAACAAATGTTTTGAACCAGTGCAGGTCAACAGTTGGTTTGGTGCCGGTCAAGGATGAGGAAGAGGAAACATTAGTCTTATCTGACTCGACTTATCGCTGCAAAACAAAGACAGTAAAGATAAATGACGCTCAAGGTTATAAGTTTTCTTCAGACCGCTTTGATTCTGCACCGAAAACTAAACCAAGAAGGAAAAAGGACTAATAATGAGAACACAGCCAAATAAATCAACCTTCTTTAGATGCTCTGGAGGATAAAAATACTAATTAAACTCCGAAATGAGAGGATTTCATGCATCATGACGTTCCACACCATCGTCACCGAAGCATAAATCCTACAGGAAATCAAAGTGATGCTTTATTGCTGCCATAATTTATCTATTTTAACAAAACCTACAGAAACACTTTGGAAAAAAGTACACCTTTTTGATTCCTTGTGTAAAAAGTAGTCTCGCACACACAAGTTGCTCCTCCTTAAAGAGAACATGTTCAAAGATAGCCCTTTTTAATACAGTATTATATTCATCACACTAAAAACTTTGATAAACTATCTGAAAGTACAGCTTCAAATGTTCTATCACAATTAATAAAACTCGAAGCAAACAGAGTCAAGCTCTTTAAATAATTAGAGTGACTTTATTTACAGTTCATACAGGTGAACCTGGGAAATCTGAGGAGGAAGATGACTTCTGGAAGGGAATGGTAGGTAATGAACATGTTGTCTATTTCTTAATGGTATGTAGGAGGATTCCAGGTAGGTATGGTCCAGGGTTGAGGGGTAGCAGAAGGATTGTAGTGGTTAGTATGGGCAACAACTGGAGTAGCAGAGGAGCAGCTGAAGGAAAGCCAAGACATGGTAAAAGTCCAATTCTTAATCACAAGGAGACCAATAGTAATACCAGATGGTATGTAATGCTCCAGCAGGGAAAGGAACATTTACTCCTGGAGCTCGTCAAGGAGATGACCCACAGCTGCTGCTCATTGACTCCGCCCAGAACTCAGGAACCTGCAGAGAAAGAGCTGGAATCACTCTCAAGGCAAGTCTTTCACTATAACGTGTGTTACAGTGTTACCTTTTCATATATTTTATTTTATTTTTTTGCTCAGAATCCAGAGTTTATAAGATTATGTGCCTGTTTTTTTTTTTTTGTTTTAATTAGGAAATTATTTAGCAGTTATTGAAGAAATGGGAGTTTTTCTTTATCACTCCGCTTTATCACCAGGTGAATTTTCATTTTCACTTTTTTTTTTTTTTTTTTGTGGTTTCTGTTGTGGGAAAACAGAAAAGCATTTAAATTCCTGACTGAAGTGGAATTCAAGCTCCTCTGAAGCTTGATCTCTAAGGTGAGAGGCGGGGGAACTTGTTACGTACACAGAACAAAGTAAACTGATTTTAGTAATGTCCAAGATATTTTTCCATCCACCAAACAAACTGAGACTGGTTACCAAAATCTGCTGACATTTTGTTTTTAAAAACAACATGACGATGGTGTTTGCTCGTGATTAGAGATGCACTCCCATCTCATGACGTGTTCAGTTATGCAGTGGCAAACAGTGACTAGAAGAAATCGGCCTTCAGTTAAGATATGTTGTAGCAACTTGATAAACACTAATGTCAAAGACATCACGGAGTCGCAGTCCGATTTTATCACTTTACTTCCAGTTTCACATTTCAACAACCTTTCTCTATTTTAATAAATCATCTAAAACCTCTGATTTATGGTGCCATTTTTTTAGTCACAACTACGTTAACATAAATGCCAATCCAGCACTAATCAGAAAAACAAACGGGGACAACCCATCTGAAAATATACCTCAATAACTCTACGCATTTCTATCCCAGTATTACCCAGCATGCAAAGCAGCTCACCCATTCTCATGTGTTCGAGTACAAAGTTCAATAATTCTAACTGAAATTTAATAGTAATGCACATAATTTACTGCTTCTGTCAAATTTAATCATATAATGAAAACAAAATATATCAGTAATATTGAAAATTATCTGTGTAAAGCTATAGTTCATATTTAACCTTTCTTTTTGGCAACAATTTCTGTGGATTTTTGAAAAATGCATCACAAATATTTATATGGTCAAAACTTTCAAGGCCTTCCTGAAGGCTCAGCGACCTGTGTTTAGTCCCACCCTTTCCACATCAACACTGATTAATTTTCCTGTTGGTTATTAAACAAACTCATACTGAGGAGACTTTGACTGAGCTCAGCCTTCTCTTCTGACAGTGAAGTCCAAACCAGTGCAAAAGAAAATTCAAACATGTTTCTGCCTGGAGACAAAAATGTAGAAGAATCTGATTGGTTAATCAAAATAAGTTTCTTGCTCCTCTGCGAAGTAGTTTACAAAAAACAAACATTGAAAAAAATTTATTTTTCACAAAATAATTAAACATGTAATGTAATGTGTCAGATGTGCGTAACTTTTAGGCCTTCTCTGATGGCATAGAAGGCTCTGAGAGTTCTCCATTGGAGGTACGTGGCCATAAGAAAAATAAAAAAATAAAAAATCACAGCATTGTTTTTTTTAAGGTAGTGTTTTACTGGGCTGCAGTTGCTTGTAAATGTTTGGTGGACATCATTCACAAGCATGACTTGTGATGTTTGAGGAGATTTTCATATAGTATAGACATCAACATAGAAATCATTAACATAACTTGCACAGTGAGTCTGCATGTCATATGCACGTTTTATTTTTCATTCTTTAGGGACCAACAACTCTGAGAATTATGTGCAAATGTTCATACGTGATGACTGAGGACATGCTTGTGAACTCCTGTTTCACATTAAGCGTTTCCACCTGACTCAAGTATGTAAAACATTTAAAGCTCCTACAAAAGTGTATACGCTGCAAGTTTTTGTGGTTTCCAAGAACTAAAAATAGTGTGTTATTCAACAACCTGTGCACTTGTGAGATTACGTCATAACTGTCTGCCAGCTTAATTCTGTTAAAACATGTTTTCTATGAGATACAGTAATATGATAATCAGGGGCTGCTGCCAAAGAAATCAGTCCATTGCTTTGGCTTAGAGTTCTCACTTTTCTGTTGTAATCACTGTTATCCTGAACATGACACCACGCACAGTCGTGTCCAAACAACAATCCCTCCCTTTGGTATCCACGGTCAGCGGAGCAGTTTCAGCTCAGCCAAACCAAAGTTTCTGGCAGTCATCAGACTGTTTTTGTTCTTGTTGCGATTTTATGACACACCATGGATGGAAGTTGAACTTTAGCTTCTGATTTCCAGGCATATTGTAGATGTTTAACAGAAAGCGCTGCGTGAACATCACCAGTAAGAGAATAAACCTCTGAAAGTGCAAGATTCTCTCTTGTCTCGTCAATTCTCCTCCTCTTCCCTTTCTCTCTCCTCCCTTCAGCACCACAGGAGTCGGGCTTTGGTTCAGCTCGCACACGGCTAATCTAAATACTGCGGGAGCCAAAAGAAAACAAAACAACAACCCTGCAGCTCTGACTTCAGGTCAGATTTACAGCTTCAGCCAAAGTCCTGCTTCGGACCAGAGAAGTTTCCAGGTTTGGCAGTCAGGATGCCCGAGAGCTTTGACTATGAGAAGAACGAGAAGCGCTACTGCATTCGAGGTAAGCATGCAGCCATCATCTGTGTGACGGCGGTGGTTTGCTCCCTGGCTGTGGGTTTGGGGGTGGGCCTCAGTAGGTCCACCTCATCCACAGCAAAACCTACAGCAGAACCCACAGCAGAACCTACACAGCCCCCTCCACCTGGCAGAGGGCCCTGCCAGCCTTCATCTGACTCCACTGGGGACTGGAAGAATTTCCGTCTGCCTGATTATGTAAAACCGGTCCACTATGACCTGCACCTGGAGCCGGACATGGTCGATGACACCTACACGGGTACTGTGGACATCCATGTGGAGGTCAGTAAATCCACCCGCCACCTGTGGCTGCACATCAGGGAGACGTTCGTCAGCACCATGCCCAAGCTGAAGGTCCTGGACAGTCAGGGGAAGCAGAGGGAGGTGGAGGTGAAGCACTGCTTTGAATACAAACCTGAGCAGTATGTGGTGGTGGAGGCCGCGGAGGAGCTGCCCATCTCTGGACCCGGAGAGGTTTATGTCCTCAGTCTGGACTTCCAGGGCTGGCTCAACGGCTCTGTGGTGGGATTCTACAGGGTCATCTACACAGAGGAGGGTGTCACCAAGTAAGATCTGACACTTCTACTGGCAAAATGGCAAACTTTGTGTTACAACTTTCTGTAGGACTAAAATGACGACAAGAAAACAAGCAGTTTAGGAGTGATGCCATTTAAAATATCTTTGATCAACTGTTCTTTAGGTTTTCTGAAGATTGTCCAAAGTTTCTCCTTGAACTTTGAACTTAGCCCCCCTCAGTTTCAGTCCTTGTACCTGATCATTTACAAAGAACTAGATATTGACTGTTAAACTATTTGAAAATATCAAAGATGACAGCTTGACAAACAGAAAGAGAGATTTCAGTGCGATTCCCAAAGAGCTGTTTGTCGTGATCTTTTAGTTTTGTGTTTTTGTCATTTGAGTTTAATGTAAATACATTTAATTATATCCTTTTGTTCCTTGGATCCTTTTGTCCACCACATCCTGACACTATTGGCTGAAAACCTAACATGCAGTGGAAAGTTGATCCGTTTTTTTTACTTTTTCTCACCAGGAAGATTGCTGCAACTGATCATGAGCCAACGGACGCCCGCAAGTCTTTCCCCTGCTTTGATGAACCCAACAAGAAAGCCACCTATACAATTTCCATCACTCATGATGAGCAATATGGTGCTCTGTCCAACATGCCACCAGTGGTAGGACTTATACCAGTCAATACCAGACAAATAAAGCAAGAAATTATATCAGAAGTAAAAACTTTAGGTATTGTGTTACATATGACCATAACATTTCTTGTTAAATCACCAGTAAAGTCAATAGGATGACCAGTTATCAGAAACTCTAAAAGTATTTAATCAGGCCACCAAAGTTTTCTGTTTCGACCCATCTAACATTAACCATATGTTGGGCTCCTATGGGCCATGCTTGGATACACATTGTCCAGTCTCAGCACAACTTGCTTTGCCCTTTTTAATACTGGCGTTGCCTCGATGTAAGTAGTTTGTCGTAGTGCAGCTGCCTGAAACTTATGTCCAACAAGTAAATAAAAAAGAAATAGTCACGAAACACTCCTTATTTTCTGCCACCATTTCCAAAAAAAGCCGTAGCCCCCTTTCCTTTGATCAGAGCACGTAGATCAAGTCCATCTGGTCTAGATTCTGAGAGGAGTTGTTAAAAAGTGGGACCACCCGATGTAAATTTTAACCAGTGCTGGGCTGACCTGAGTAGCGCTAAGCTGAGTCCATGTAAAGAGCCCGGAGGAACCCAAATGTGATATTTGAACCCACTTTGGTTAGCAATATTATTTGAGCTTTAAAGAAGGTCTGAGTTGCATGTACAATAGAGAATGAGTGCCATGTAGACCATAGTCCAAGACCAAGTAGAACATGGTGCTTCATGATGAGCCCAGATAAACTTTCTGGTAAAACTGTGCCGAATGTTTGTACCACTCAACACATACACCCAAATATTCAAAATAAAAGCAGAGAATTATAAAGTGTAAATCCTTTGGATGTATGAGTCATAGTGGGTACATGTGCATCAAATTAAAGGCATAGAGCATTCAGCTTTACATCAGCATGTTCCTTTGTTTTCCCAGGGCTCTCCTGAAAAACTTCCTGGCGGTAAAATGAAAACGTCCTTCCAGAAGTCCATTCCCATGAGTACCTACTTGGTTTGTTTCGCTGTGCACAAGTTTGGGTATGTGCAGAAAACATCTGCCAGTGGCATTCCTGTAAGTTGACTAAAACGTGTCGCTATAAAAACGTTAAGAAAATATAACGCCTTCAGACTTCTGCAGTCTCAGTCCTGCTCTGATTTGCTGCAGCTGAGAATCTACGCCCAGCCGAGTCAGTTGGCAACAGCGGAGTATGCAGCGAACACAACCAAAATCATCTTTGACCACTTTGAGGAGTATTTCGGCATGCCCTACTCCATCTCAAAGCTCGGTAGGATTTGAAATCTTGTGGAAGCATCACCAATGAAAATATAATTTGGTTCTCATCCATCTGGTTATAGAGAGCTCCTTGTCTGAGCAGAATGATGCAGTAAAACGTTACATGACGTCACTTCAGAGAACTCTGTGTGCTCTGACCCAGATAAGATTGCCATCCCTGACTTTGGTACCGGTGCCATGGAGAACTGGGGTCTGATCACTTACAGGGAGACCAATCTTCTGTATGACAAGGACCAGTCGTCGTCCTCCAACAAGGAGCGGGTGGCCAGCGTCATCGCCCACGAACTGGTCCACCAGGTAACAGAACCTGCTCTGATCAACTTAGTTCTATATCTGGATTTTAACAATTTCTCCTTTGGTGCTGGCATTAAAACAAACCAAAAAAGAGAAATCAAAGTTCTAGATATGTAAATAATTAAAATATGAGCTATTGTTAAAACTCGTGTGAACTTTTTATTGTCGTATCATTCGTTTTACTGTTGCAGAAGATAAGGACGGTCTATAAAGTTGTAGGAACTGAAGTTACGGGATTTATGGGTTGTTCCCAGTTGTTTATGACTTGTAGTAAAGCAGTCCCACATGACCGGAGCAATGAACCTTTAACTTTTATGGTTAAGTCATGAACACACACATGCCAGAGTGGATTACTAAAGCGGACAAATAACGTCTGTAGGAAATGTGCTCATTTGTTGCATGGAAAACAATGTTTTATTTTAATCCATTTATTTTTATCAAGCTATTTACTGAAATAAATTATTACATTTGTAATAATATAACAAAAAGGAACAGAAGAATTTATAGTCCCTAAAGTGCCGATGGTATTTTATTTTGTTTTTTGCTAAACCAGTAACTTGTTCCTTATGCACCGAAAATGATTTTTCCAGCACGATATAGTTGAGAATTTATGGAAAGCCTTGAACTCAGGAGGAACAGCGTGGCTTTCATTTGTGACCTCGTACATCAAATCAGGGATCAAGTCATATCTGGTCAAACTAAACTTGGCACGTTTGCAGATTCCCGTCTTTTTAAAATTACATTTTGTCACCCAGGTCATCCTGATTGTGAGAGGTTCCAGAGATATGGCTTGATTTCTCTTGCAAATTGGGAATACCCCAGTATAATCAGTCTGAATCCTATTTTTAACATATTCTAATAAGAATTCTTTGTCATTTGAAAGAGGAAACCTCATTACATATTTTAGATGTAGGGATTTCCCAGCAGGTATTGAAAATAGCTTTGCTAGTGTGCAGGGAATGTAACGAAAATGTAGTGCTTTCTGATAAAAATCATTGATTGCTGCTCAGAAAGTGTTTGACAACATTCTTTAGGGTTACCGTATTTTCCGTCGTACATGTCTCACCGCCGTATAAGTCGCATCAGTCCAAATATGTCTAATAAAGTGGAAAAAACATAAATATGTCACTTCGCTGTATAAGCATCTATTATGCGTCGCTGCTGCTGCGTTGAGTTTAACATCACCGCTGCAAACCCTGAAACGTGGGGTGGCGTTGTCCCAACAATCGATTGGCTGCCAAATGGTGGCCGCAGGAGTGTGCACGGGAGGACTTTAACAAGAATTTAACAAGATTAACACTCAAAAACAATTGTTTGCTCGAAATTATAGCAGTTGTTTGTCTCAGTTTAACTATTCCTTAATAAATGCACTTTGATGGTCAAATCAGCTGCATTTTAAAAGCCAATTCGTGGGAGCGCGCAGAGGGACGAGTCGCTGTGCATTTCTTCAAAATTTAACAAGATAACCACCTAAAACCAATTATTTGTTTGCTCGACATTATAGTAAAGGTGTGCCTCAGTCTCACTTTTCCTTAATAAATGCACTTAAATGGTAAAATCATCTGCATTTCAAAAGTATTCGCTGCCTCCGTGCTCTGGGAGCACGCGTAGGGAGGAAATCAGGAAGTTGGAACGCTGCACATTTCTTCGAAATCTAACAAGATAAGCACATAAAACAATTATTTGTTTGCTCCACATTACAGTAGTCCCTTGCTACTTCACGGTTCATTTATCGCGGCTTCGCTTTATCGTGGTTTTTCAAAAAAAGATTGGGCATGACACACAATTGGCTGATTTGATGGATGAGCCGCACGATTGGCATGGAATTTTTATTTAAAATTATTTTAAATTATTTATCACCTGCTGCACATTTGTGTAGCCCAGAGCAGCAGAAAGCCTCTTCCTGCAGCTTTGTGCAGCCCTTACTGTAGGATAAACTTCCTGCTGCAGTTAAACAGCTGATTAGCTGTTAAGCGTGCAGAGCGGAGAAGTGGGCGTGGCCAAGAGCACTTGCAGGTGGCAAAGAGCAGATGAGGCAAGAAGCTGAAGTCATGACATTCTGTGCTCTTTTAGAGTGTTAAGAGTTTAGAAACATTGTTTAGAATATTGCAAGAGTGTGGGAATCATTTAAAACGCCTTAATCTATATAAATAATAAAATAAACTACTACTTGTACTATTCCTACTTCGTAGTTTTTCACTTATCACGGGTCTTCTGGGTACGGATCCCCCGTGATAAAAGTGTGGCTCAGTTGAACTTTTACTTAAAAAATGCACTTCAATGGTCAAATTAGCTGCATTTCGCTGGGGCCGTGCAACGAAATGAAGCTGATTTGATGGTCGCTCCAGGCAAAACGGACAAAGGTGGCATGCTATGGCAAGCCGATTGTGTCATTAATAGTCACTTCAACCCATTACATGATACAACGGCATGTCATACTGCTAGAGTGCCATCTAATGGCTGAAAATGGTTGTGTTCAATATTTTCAATGTCGGAATGAATGAAAACATTCATATCGCAGCCAAAAATTGGTTTATAAATATGGGAAAAACATAAGTCTCTTTGGTGTATAAGTTGCAGGGCATGCAAATTATGCAAAAATTAATTCTTCTGGCCTGGGATTGTCTTGGGATCCTTCAGGAGGAGGTTGATGATCTCCCTGGGGAGATACGTGGGTTTCCCTCCTGGACCCGTTTTCTCCACTACACAACAATGGCAGAAAGTGGATGGATGGATGAATAAAATAAGGTCATTACATCTTCATTCACCTTTTGCAGTGGTTTGGAAACATCGTCACCATGGACTGGTGGGACGACCTCTGGCTCAACGAGGGTTTTGCCAGTTTCTTTGAGTACATCGGAGTGGAGGAGGCCGAACCTTCCTGGGAAATGGTGAGCTTTGCTTTAGACACACAAACTGTTGCTCTGAAGGTCTTGGTCTGCTTGAAACGTGCACGTGTCTTTTCGTGGTTCCACAGAGAGACATCATGATCGTCAGTGACGTGCTTCCCGTCATGGTGAACGACGCCCTCCTTTCATCTCATCCGATCATCGTGAACGTGTCGAGTCCGGCAGAAATCACCTCTGTGTTCGACGCCATCTCCTACAGCAAGGTGTGAAACAAGAAACCTTAGAAGCAATCATGGGAATAGATTTAGTGTTTAATTATTAATAAAAAACCCTAAATTTAAGCACCAACGATCAGGATTGTAAACCAAACCTGATAACCAGCACTAAAAATTACCATCTGTGGTGCCCAGTCATGGTCCTCGAGGATCACTGTCCTGTAAGTCTTAGTTGTTTCTCTGCTCTTCAACAGGTCTTCAAGTTCTGCAGAAGATTCATTCAAATCAAAAGTGTCAAAGCAAAGAAACATCTCAAATTTTGGGTGTTATCCCTTGTTTAAAGTTTAATTGTCCTTGATCCCTTGTTTTACTGAATAAAACAGGGTAACAAAGTTGTATTCAGTTTAAAGTTATAGTGTTTTCATATGCCTGACTGAGAAGAGATCCTGGTGTAATATGAACTGTCTGACATTTTCCAGGGAGCATCTGTTCTCAGGATGCTGGAGGACTGGATGGGCAGAGATGTGTTCAGAGACGGCTGCAGAGTGAGTCACCGTGAAGTTTTCAAACCTTTAGCTCATTTGACCACAGCAGCTGAGTGATGGACTGTTATTTCTTTATTTCTTCTTCTCCTGTCCACAGAAATATTTACAAGACTACCACTTCAAGAATGCCAAAACGGCCAACTTCTGGGCCTCTCTCGCAGAAGTACGTTAGCTTTAAATGGTTTGTTCTGATTTAAACGTGAATGCTTAAATCAGGCTTGGCCCAGTGGTTATGGCGGTCGTCCTCCAGTTGGAGGCATTGCAGAACCTGGAGAGGTTAAAAAGGTTCTAAAGAAGTTGTGGATCATTTCTAATGAGATGAGGTGAAGCAGGTAAAGGAGTTTAATTTCTGAATATTATCCCAGGTGAGTGGGTTGCCCATTGCAGAGGTTATGGACACCTGGACCAAGCAGATGGGTTATCCTGTCGTGGATCTGATCGCCTCAGGAACCGAAGCCAAACTGACCCAGAGGCGTTTTCTCCTGGACCCCTTAGCTGACGCCAGCAAGCCTCCTTCACCTTTTCGGTGAGCAGTTTATTAAAAACTTGATTTTAGTGCCATTACCTTTTTAAATAAACTAAGATGTCTGCGCTGTGAATAGATGAGTTCTGATTTTGTGGTGCATGTCAGTGTTTTAATGACTTTAATTGTGTTTGTTATAGATACAAGTGGACAATTCCAGTCAAATGGCATTCTGTGCAGAGTGACAAGAACATGGTGACGATGTTTGACAAAGACAGTGCAGGTACAGTGTTCAAACTCAGCTTTTAAAGAAATTAAGATTTCTGCTGCCACACGGCAACATTTAAATATGCTATATATTAGTAGTACTGTATATGTATAGTATTTGCCACAAAAAGTCTAAATTTTGATGTTTTACTTAATAAAATTAGCTTCTTTGAAACCGATTTTGTAGCTTTTGTTGTCACGTCTCCTGTGTGGAAACTGAGAAACTTGGACAGTATTTATTCATAAGAACATAAGGTACCTACTTATTCCCGTCTCTAGTGCAGTTGGCACTTGGAGAGAGTCTTCCCTACAGTTAAACACAGTGGGGACAGCATCATGCTGTGGGAATGTCAGCAGGCCTTGGAATCAATAAGAACCAATAAAATTATAATGGAGAAATTCTCGTGGAAAACTTGTTTCTGCGGAGCTGAAAAAAGCACAAAGCTTCGCATTTCAGCAAAATATATAAACATAAATTAATCAACTGGTTTAGGGGAAAACATTTAGAGATTGAGAATGTGATGTATACATTTTTCAGTCAAGTTTTCTGTTTTTGTTCACATTTGTTGTTCAAATCACTTTAAAATCACAACTTCACCTATAAACCCCTCAAAATTCAATAAATCAGCAAATGTGGGGTAATATGTGATGGTTGATGTTTTGACTTGTTTTATCCAAACCTTTCAGAGCACGTCATCGGGAACTACTCGTCAGCAGAAGACGGACTGCTGAAGATCAATAATGACCATATTGGCTTCTACAGAGTCAATCATGAAGACCACATGTGGACTGACATCAGTCAGCAGCTTCAGACTAACCACTCGGTACAGCTGGCCTCAGATCAGCATCGCTCACGACTGCGTTGCTTGTTGTTGTGTAAAGGCTTTTTTTTTTTTTGTGTGTGTACATTTTTTGCAACTTCTCCGTACATTCTGCTAATTGTAGCTGTTCATACACCAAAATATCTTGCCAAAGATAAACTTGGATATTTTTCATTTCCTTCAAAACATTCACATCGTTATTGAACACCGTTTCAACAGATTTGTCCTACCATAACGTTTTGCTTTTAGCTAGTTTTAGATATTTTTTCATTTAGCTAGACCTTTGCAATTATTTGCTTTTAGCTAACCATTCAATACTTTTAGCTCTAAACTATTTTAATTAGCCTTTTGATAATTTAGGTGTTTAACCTTTTGCCACTTTAAGCTTTTAGCCAGGCTTTGCAAATTTTAATGTTTTTGCTACATTTAGCTTTCAGCTAACGTTTGCTATTTTTAGCTAAGGTTTTGCTGTTTATAGCTTTTAACTAGTTGTTGCTTCATTTAGCCTTTGGCTAGCATTTTTCTACTTTTAGCTATTTTTTTATTTCAATTTTTTTGCCTAGGGAGCTGCTTCTTTTAACTCAGTTTCAACTTTTTTAAAGCAAATTTTAACAAAGTTGTTCAGCCGTTGGAGTTCTCACTGTATTTTTAAACGAACTTGCATTTTAATCTCTTTTTTTTTTAGATGTGTTCATTTGCTGTAGAAATCACTGTTTATTTTAACAGGAGTTCGACGCAGCTGATCGAACAAGCTACATCGATGATGTGTTTGCTCTTGCTAGGTATGAACTAAAAATACACTTGGTAAACATTCCAGAGCTAATCCAGTGAACCCACAACAAGTTTGTTTTCACCAATTAGGGCTGATGTTGTGGATTATGGTAATGCCTTTAATCTCACCATGTATCTTCAAAATGAGTCCGACTACATCGTGTGGAGTCGAGTGGCCGCTTCTATCGCCTACGTCCGGGACATGCTGTCCAACGACGACGACCTTTACCTGCTGTTTCAGGTGAGCAGCACAGCTGAATGATGTCACAACAAGCATTTATCTGGAAACCCACGATGTTGAAACTTCCAGCTGGAATACACAAATCAGTTTAAATTTAACATTGAGCTCAAAATCCAACAAATCCTAAATCTTTGAGTCAATGTTCTTAACTGTGGTTGTTTAAATTGTCTTAATATTTAAGGTTTTATTATTAGTTGTAGCACTGCAGAATGTTGTCTGGTTGGATGCTGCTGTTTTCTTGGCTTAAAATAAACAAAGTATTTGACTTTTTATCTCCTAGAAACTGTTTCGTCAACACGTCAAACCGATTTCTACTCGACTTGGGTGGAAGGATGAAGGAACGCAAACCGAAAGGTGCAGCAGCAGAAATAAGATTTTAAGCCATCAGTTATTGTGTCAGTCATGCTGAGTCAACATTCATACTGTGGGTTTATAGATTCTTTTCAAAGATTTTTACCATCAAACTACGTTTGCATACCTTGTGCTTTTTCAACAATTCACAAATCAAAATGTTCAGCTTGATCGGGAATATTGTGCAGTGACTTTTTATTTTTTTATTGGTAACTTTTTTTTATTTTTCAGAATATTTATCTTTATTTAAGATTAAAATCCCTGTAGAAATCTATTAACATCCCCCTAAATTCCCTTAAAAACTTTGTTCTGCTTGAAATCTGCTTCATCATACTTAATCCTTTTTTCTTCAGCTGCTGCTGTCAATGTGTAGCTACCATTCTGCTGCTTTTAGCTACAAATCCACTAATTCTGGCTACATATTTGCTTCTTTAGCTACTGTTTTGTGAATTTTAGCAGCATTTACTAATTTTAATATCTTCTGGGTTTTTTTTGTAGTTTCTCTTGCTAATTTTACCTACAGTTTTGCACGTTTTTGCTAGTTTTTCCAATGTTAGCTTGAGCATTTGTTTTGGTAATTAACTAATTCCATACATTTAGAAAATAGAAATGGATAGCTACAGTTTTACTCATTTCAGCATGTTTAGCTGATTGTTGCAACTGTTCTGCTCTTTTTAGCTTGTAGTTAATGCTGCTGCTTTTTTTTAATTTATTTAATTTTATTTATTTTAATTTTTTGTGGTAAATGTTTGTTTCAGGTTGCTGAGGGAAACTGTGCTCACCATCTCATGTCAGATGAATGACCAGGACTCTCTGAATCAAGCCTCTCATATTTTTGACCAGTGGATCGACGGGACTCTAAGGTTGAGTTTAGTCATTTTACAAACACTGATCATGATTTCTAATAAAGCATTTGTTGAAAAAAATGTGTTTTTATCTCCGTTTTCCCCTCCTGACCTGCATCAGCGTTCCTGTGAACCTCAGGCTGCTCGTGTATCGCTACGGCATGAGGAACTCGGGCTCTGAGGAAAAGTGGAATATCATGTTTCAGAGGTACAAAGACTCGACTCTGGCTCAGGAGAAGGACAAGCTGCTGTACGGGCTGGCTTCTGTGGAGGACGTCAATCTTCTTTATAAGTAAATAAAATACCTCCTCGCTCTTTGCTTTCAAGTCCAGAAGCTGCCCTTTGGGAAACCGAAAACACTTTTGAAACTGTAAAATTTTCCATTTTATTAATAAATGTGGAGGTCACTGAAAACAAAGCTTAAGTTTAGGATTGAAACGGACTTATTGCTTAATTTTTTATAGATTATAAAGGTCAATGTTTGTACTAGCAGAACTAGACAAGGAATAAAAACTTTGAAAAGGAGGACATTTTTTTAACATTATTTTGACCTTCAGCTGATATTTATTTTGCCACAAATATCTGTTCTGTATGAAGCTTGATGTATTTAGAGTATTGCTGTGTTCAAAGACACATTTTCCTCTAGCACAAACTTATTATTATTAAGAAAAGAGAAAAGGTCCTGAGAGCTTTTATAAAAAGATGAATAAATAAATGAGACGATGATTTTTTTCCTCCTAATAAAACACAATTTCATCTTGTGGAGACTGTTGTAGAGTTTTGGATCAAATCTTGTAAATGACATCATGCTCAATCTCATGCAATATAATGAGCTCTTATGAGATGTGTTAGTACTCAAAGAATATCATATGGATGACTCTCTGCTACTACCACACAAAATTTAGCTCAACATCTGTAAAACTGACCAAGTTATAGTAGATTTTGTGTAGGCTGATGTAAGTTAGCTGTGCTGACCATCTTATATTTGGGGGACTGTAAGTTATTTGTAGATGTACATCCAGAGTTTCAATAAAATCCATCAAATGGGTTATCAGATATTTTGCTAACAGATGTGCACAGACAGGACACGTCAGCTCCAGGCGATAAACTAAATGTTGTCTTAAGATTTTTTCTTTTTTTTGCACTTTGTAGTTTATGCCACTAGATGTCACTAAATCCCACCCACTGAACATTTAAAGTGACAGTTTTCCTTTGATTTAAAAAAAATGTTTTAAGTCCATTAATCTTCCAACATGTATTTTTATTACAAACAAATTGCGAAGTAGACGAAGATGTAGAGACTGAGTTTTAAGTCTGCTTGAGATGGTCTTCGTGCACATCAGATCTGCAGCTTGAAATCCTCATAACGAGCAACAAAGACATTTCCTCTGTTCCACAGGCTCCTGGAGGCGACTAAAGATGAGAACGTGGTGAGGAGTCAGGATGTGTTCACCGTGGTGCGCTACGTGTCGTACAACTCGCTGGGTCAGACCATGGCCTGGGACTGGACCACTTTAAACTGGGACTACCTGGTCAACAGGTCAGTTGGAGTGAATGCTTGTTTGTCTCTGTGTCCCTGTGATGAACTGGTTACTTGTCCAGGGTGTCCTCACCTGTTGATCCTTGACGGCTGGAAATGGGCACCTGCTTCCTCCGAACACAAAAGGAGAAGCAGGAAAAGAAAATGGATGGATGTGTTTGGAAGGTCTATTCTCCAGTTTATCGGTATTCCCAGTTGCTTCACTGGGTTCTGCTTTATGGGAGAGTGGCAAAGAGAATGCTACTGCACATCCCTATAAGCTCACTGTCCCCCACCTTGAAGCATGGTGGTGAAAGCATCATGCTATGGGGCTGCTTCCCTGCAGCCAGCCATGAAAGGCTTGTAAAGACAAAGGGTAAAATGTAAACGAAGAGAAACATGGAGGACAATGGGACGCTGTCTGCAGAAATATGACTCAGTAGATTTATTTTACAGCAAAATAATGAGCCGAAGCTTCCAGCACAAATGCTACATAAGCTAAAACAACAATGTGATTGTTCTGGAGTGGCTTTTTTCTTTAAAAATATAAAAATAAAAAATAATTAGTTTTAGTGTAGATGTGCCAAAATGAGACTTCACACAGACTCCATCCAAAGGTGCTTGGACTAAATACTGAAGGGAAGGGGGTGAAAATTTATACAGTCACTAATTTGAATTAAATATATTTATCAGTAGAAAATAGATTTGCCATTGATGTTTAGGTTTTTGTTTGTTTTGGTCAAAAATGCCTTTTTTATATCGAACACAGTGGATTTTATGACGGCAATTAAAACAGAAAATATCCAGGGACGTGAAAACTTTTTATTGGTGATTTATTATCTCATAAAGATTAAAAAGATAAAATGAGTCAGCACTTTGAGGATTTTAAAGCAGAAAATCTTTGCTGATAAGCGATAAACATCTTTTTGTTTAATTATATTGTAAGTCATGTTAGTCAGTTTGAGACACATTTTTTTTTGTCCTTCACCTCAGTGAAAACTGTCAAGTCTGGATACTTTAAATCAGTATTTTTTTTTTGGTAAAGTCAAAATAATTCCACAAATTAATAATAAAAAAAAAAAAAAAAGTTATTTTGAATTACTTGAACAAAATGTGAGAAATTTGGACAAAAGATGGAGACGTCTTAAAGGTTCAGCCTGCAGAAGTTCAACTTACTGCATCTTTTAAAACATGTCTGTAAAATTTTCCCACTTTTGAATGTTTTTGGTCCTTCTGCTTTAGTTTTATTAAAATGATTTTTTTATTTTGTTGCTCACAATATTACACTCAGCTGCTGAGGCTTAAGATATTTTGATGTATTGAAGATTTTTCACCACTACTTTAAATAAGAATAACAATTCTATTTTATTATAGCGTCTTAAAAACAAAAAGGTTGATTTAATTTACTCCAGCAGATGATAAAATCATCAATAAATAAATAAATTAATTAAATGTAAGAAACGAGTAAAAGCTAAAACACAACATAAAACCCTCCGATCAGATTCATCTTCTATTTTAAAAACAAATAAGTTTGAAATCATTTTCTTTTTATTTTTATTTTACAAAATGTGTTTTCATTTTTGTTCTGGTCATTTTTATGGAGTTTATATTGCACTTAATTCATTCAAGGACTTTTGTAAAACTGAAAAAGTAAATGTCGAAGCTAAATTTTAATTTCTCCTCGCTGCGTTTGGTTTCAGTCCCTCAAACAGATTTTCTACTGTGTTTTAGATATTTAGTTTTTCAGAGAGAAAATGTCTGAGCTCTGGAAAGTCTTGGGCTTTACTCGCCTTTAAATTTTAACAACTGATCTGTTTTTATAGATACACCATCAACGACAGAAACCTCGGCCGCTTGCCCAATCAAATCACAACCACCTACAACACCGAGCTCCAGCTCTGGAAGGTCAGAGTCGTCTTTGTTTTTTTTTAAAGCCGTGAATCATTACAATCATTTTCCCTTTTAAATGTCTGAACAGAGCTCTTGATCTAAATCTGATGCTTCTTTTTGATTCCAAACGGAGTTTCCTCTGCTTGGCTTCGTCAGATGGAGCATTTCTTCCAGCTGACGCCGGACGCCGGTGCCGGAGAGATGCCGAGGCAGCAGGCGCTGGAGACTGTGAGGAACAACATGGAGTGGCTGAAGAGGAACAGGGATGAGATCGGAACCTGGCTGAAGAACAACGTGAAGTGAAACGGAACAAAGATCCTCTGCTTCCTGCAGGAAACAAGATGATTTTTCAAATTTTACTCTCAGGATGATGCAGTTTTTACTACAAAATACATGAAAACTAACTAACGTAAAATTTTGAATTAAAGTATTGACATTTTCATAAACCTCCATGAAAACTGAAACTGTTGCTTCTAAAGCACCTTGGATGCATCATGCCTTCTGAATAATTCAGAGAATTTGACTATAATCCCACCTTGTTTCAGAGCATGTTGTCAGCGTTCATCCTTCTGAAAGCCAAAGACGTCAAGCTGAATGAACTTTTTAAATTTTTTATTTACATTACTTTATTTATCTCATTCTGAGCCATCAGCTATGATTAAGGGGGACAGTTTTACTACTTTAAAGAACAATTTAACAGATGTTTTAATCCTCCAGATTACAAACACTGGGAACTCTAAAAACATGAAAATAAAAACAGCAATTCCTACAATGACGATGAATTTTATTATTTAGCAGGTTTGCTACAACTTTTGTTTCATCTTTAGCTCTTCATCTCTGCTGCAACCTTTTATAATGTTTCAGTACAGTTCTGTTTCTTTTCCTTCATCACTTAAAAGATGTTCTGATGATGAGGCTACCAGGTGATGAAGAGTTTCAGGTGTCGTTTTGTCTCATTCCTTGTAAACTCGTCTTGAGGTGTCCAGCAGTCCAGAACTCGTCCTCAGCTTTTGGAATGTGACCACAATGTGTTTCGTTTTTACTGTTTTGGACAAACATGCACTAAAAGTTGTGGTTTTGAAGGCGGCAGATGTTGCTGGAATGTCTGTGCTGGAGTCTTCTGTAATAGTGCTGCCATCAGAACGCTGGTCCAATCCCAGACCATCACAGATCCAGGCTTTTGGGCTTGTTGCATGCAGAGCAGAAAATTGTAGCATTACAAGCATTTGCAGCCCTTGAAGCTCTTTAGACTAAACTCTTATGTCAAACGTTATAAATGACTTGCCATTATCTCAAGCGATGTGTTGAGGAGGACTCTCAGCTACTACCACACCAAATTTGACCTCAGTATTAGTAAAAGGCGCCGAGTTAAAGCCAGTTTTGCATTGGACAATGTCTATTAACTGATCTATAACCAGTGATTACTAAAGAGTTTTATAAAAATTAATCAAATGGATTGAAATGTTTTACTAATGATACAAACGATAAACCAGGCAAAAACTTTAACCCTTTAATCTGTCTGCAACAGGTGATAATCAGTCTCCCCATCTTTCGAACAATTTTATAAATTGCCCTTAAAAGGAAGAAAATGGCACAATGGGAAACATTTTAATTGTGTTGCTGACATGTTAAATATTCAATTACAACTGGAAGATGGAATTTACACAGTAAATACCACGGTGCATTCAGGTACCCATTAGAACAGTGAGAGTAAAGAACGCTCATGTTGAATCATAAATGGGTCTGATTCCCTCGATATTTAAATATTTAATGTGGGGTCATCCTGAGGCAACAGTCCTCACTGGGTCAGAGGCTGCTGGGAGGTTGTCATGGGAACCTGGGTGCTGATGTTGACCCGCTGCCTGGTTTGACATTGAATCATCCCAACGATGGCTCTTCTGAACCTGCAGGAAGACATAATTTAAAATTTCTAACACTCAGCTTCAAACACTCTGGAGAACTGGAACCACTCACTTCTTGTTGGCAATCACGTAGATGCAGGGGTTGTAGAATGTGGAGGACTTGGCAAAGAGTGGGGCGATGATGGCCATGGAGGCTGGGATGGTCTTTGGGTCGCCGAATGATGCCCAGAGACACACCAAGGAATAGGGAGACCAGGCAACCAGGAACATGGCGATCATTACGATGGACATCTGAAACACAAAGATTCAAAAACTACTTTGAGAGAAAAGGTTTGATTTATCAAAATTCTATTTCCTAAAAGTAAGCAAATTTGATTTCTATTTTGTAGAAGAAGACCTTTCACTTTTCATCAAGGGAGCTTTTTCAATTTAAAACTTGACTGTGGAGATGCTTGCTTTAAATTGCATGAGACGCTCCACTCATTGCAGGTAAATTCACACATTACCTCCCTCCTGAGGGACATCGGGGTCTTTGAATGGCTCTTGAGAGAGATGTTTTGGTCACACGTGAAGGTGTAAAGTGGAGAGAAAATGTTATCAGGCTTAAAGCTGCTTTATGGGTTTTGGAAAGGTGAAATCTTGGAACTCCACTTTTTAAAAATATTCCTTATATCATCTTAACCAACGCTACCTCCATCTCATTCTGTCCTCTGCATCCTCTGTCCTGACTCCAACTACCCCCATGTCTTCTCTAACTGCATCCATGTATCTCATCTTGGTCATTCTACTGGCAGCCGCATTTCTAACATCCTTCTACCAATATACCCACTGTCCCATCTCGGTCTGGACATGTCAATAATAACTTTGTCCAACTTTATCTCCCAGTTGTGCAACTTGTGTTATACCTCTGATAATCTCATTCTTAATCTTGTCCATCCTTGTTACTCTTAAGGTGAACCTCAAAATCTTCATTTCTGCCATTTCCAGTTCTTTCTCCTGTCTTTTTGCCAGTGCCACTGTCTCCAGACCATACTGGTCATGACCTTTGCTGACACCCTTTTGTCACAAATCACTCCTGAAACTTTTCTCCATCCTGCCTGGACTCTTTTCTTCACATCTTTACCACACTCCATTTTCCTGGACAGTGGATCCCAAGTACCGTACTTGAAGTCCTGCACCTTTGTGACCTCTGCTCCTTGTATCCTCATTGTTCCAGCCTCCCTCTCATTCACACACATGTACTGTCTTACTACAGCTGGATTTCATTCCTCTTCTTTCAAGTGCATACATCCACCTCTCTAAGATCTCTACAACTCATTTCCTGTTCTCACAGATCACAATGTCATCTGCAAACATCATAGTCCACGGGGATTCCTGCCTGACCTCATCGGTTAGTCGGTCCATCACCAGAGCAAACAAGAAGGGGCTCAGAGCTGATCCTTGATGCACTCCCACCTCCACCTTGAAGCTATCTGTCACTCCTACAGAACATCACACCACTGTCCTGATGTCCTCATACATGGCCTGTACCAGTCTAACATACTTCTCTGCCACTTCAGATTTCCTCATGCAATACCACACCTCCTCCCTCAACACTGTGTCATATGCTTTTTCTAAATCCACAAAGACGCATTGGAGTTCTTTCTTACCCTCTCTGTATTTCTCCAACAGCATCTTCAAAGCAAAGATGGTGTATCATTGTGTGGCTCATCAACTTAATTCTCCTGCAAGTTGCTACAACTCTGTACATCACCCTTGTTCTTACAAATGGGCACCAGCACACTTCTTCTCCAATCCTCAGGTATTTTCTTACCCTCAAATATACCATTGAATATTTCAGTCAAAAACAATGTGCTTGTGCGGTGTATTAAATGTAAGTATGTATCCCCCTTGAAAAAGTGTTGACCACCTTTGAGCCACCCTTTGAACAAAAGTCTACCTCAGTCATTGTCCTAATCGGACACCTGAACCACCTCAACCGACTCCTTTAAGTGAAAAGTGGCAGTTCTACTCAGAGCTCGCCCTGGATGATCTCAGGTCAACAAACTGGGACGTTAACCTAAAACCTGAGCTGTATGTAAGAGTTTCTTGTTGAAAATGGTTCAGATTTCACCTTGGTGACATCCATCTGGTCCGACCAGTCGATGTTGATGCTGTCCAGACAGTTGCTGGCCTTATATCTTTTAACAGTGGCTGACACGTTGTAGTAGCAGTAAAACATGACGGACAGGGGAAGCACGAAGTTCACAGCAATCACTGTCATGGTGTAAGAGATGAAGGAGCTGTGGAGGGAGAGCAAAAGAGGAGTCTTATGTTTTTTGGTTTTTTTTTAGGCCTGTCATGATAACTGATGATTAACATGACATTTCTGAGGTTTTCAAAGGCGTTTTAGCTTTTTCAGCTGAGTAGTTTTCAAAAATCTGTTTCTTACGCATCATTCTTCCTCCAGTTGATGGTGCACGTTGCTCCGGTCGGGTCAGGGGCATAACCCGCCCAGCCCACAATGGGCATGGTAGACCAGAAGACTGCATTCAGCCAGGCAGCCAGAATAAGAATGTTGTACGATCTCACTGTCATTTTCTGTCCTGGAAAGACAAAACACAAGGAAGTAAACAATGTCTGAACGTGTCTGTATGAACAATATCTACTGATGTGTTTAATGAAGATTTTTTTTTTGTATACTGTTTATGGATGATTAAAAGGCACCAATCATCTGTTGATTTTCCATAGATCTAAATAAATCTTAAGACATAATTGGAGTCAAAGAAGAGGTAAACAATAATTCAGAGAAATTGGAATAAAAAGTTTGTATCTCAGCTGCAAGCAGATGTTCAGTAAATGTCATGACGGGTGATGGGGTCCATGATTGGTTTGACCAAATTTGTATCTATAGAAGGGGCTCTGTGGAGGGTTTGTGAAAGTACCTATGTCTGGTCTGCAGATTGTGAGGTAGCGATCGACAGCCACCACGGTGAGCAGACCGATGCTGGCCATGCCAAAGAAAATGTTGAGAGCTGCGTAGATCTGGAGGAAAAAAAACAAAACAAGATAAGCTACATATTTATATCACAAGGTTAGACAACAGCATTGTGTTTTAATTCAAATTTATGTTCAATGGGTTGTCATTTATTATATATTCTTAAACAGCTGAGGAGAAATTTAAATTGGATTCATAAACCACTGATAAAAGGTTTTATTTAAAGCAAAATCAAGACGTAAAATGCTTAAATCTTAACATTATTTCATGTAAATTTGCTAATCCGCTCTCAGTGTATTGATATTTTTCTTCCTAGCAACCACATTTTTTTTTTCAATCCCTTGATCAGGTGTTTCTAAGGTTTTATTTTTGGATTTTGAATACCTCACCTGACAGCCCGTATGTCCAAACTTCCAGCTTCCGTGGATGTCCGAGGCAGCCGACATGGGATAACCGATCCCAGCCACTCCGATGTCAGTGAAGGCCAGGTTGATGATGATGAAGTTGGTGGCGGTGCGAAGCTCCCTGAACTTCACAAACATCATCAGCACCACAATGTTACTCGCTAAACTGATGACACCTTATAGGAGAGAAGAAAAACAGTCTGATGGTAGGAAGAAACTCAGAGTAAAACTTCATTTGATGTTTTTTCTAAGCAGAAGTCTGTTTTATTACATTCATTTGTTTGAAATCTCAGTAAGCTGTATTGTATGTTTGCATTAGAAATTGCACAGAACATGCTCTTTTCTCTTGTTTACCTGCAGTTATCAGGTATCCAGCCACAATGTTGTGCTCCGTCTGAGAAAAAACACTCTTCCCTCCGTACGGTGCAGCGTCACTGGAAATATTGACCTCAGATTCAATCCCCATTTTCTAAGTTGCTTTAAAGTAAAAATAACAAAATATTACAGTCGTTTAAAGAGAAAAAACGATCGCTTGAAAATTCTGCAGATCCTTTTTTAATCAGAATAAAAGTGCAGAGAGGCAAGTGTGGTGAAACTAAAACCTGTTGCACAGAGGTGGGGGGTGAATGTGGATTATTACATACCAGCTTGTACACAAGAAAGGATTTACTGTTCACGTGGATTAAAAGCTGGTTTCTAACTTCGACATCACAAAACTGAACTAAAGTTTGAACTACCTCCTGCTGATGATGATGCTTTAACAAAAATCAGTGTTGGATTAATAGATTACAGGAATCAAGACTTTCTTGTAGCATGCACAGTGGTTTTTAGTCAGGAGCCTCAAAGCTTTTTCTGTATGTTCTTAAAATGCAGCTTTCTAGAACAATCAGAACATTCTTCTGAAGAGGAACTACATCTAAAAACAGTTTCAAACATGAATGTTTTATTACATAACTGGGTATAAATGATTGGACAGGAAAAAACACTCTGAATTAAAGAGGGGTAATAATGTTTTGGCATGTTGCATAACTGTTTAGCTCTGGTGAAGTGCCAATTCATGCAGGTGGGTATTTTTTACCTCTGTATTAACAATTCTTTCTTCTTAATTTGATGATTTATTTTCTTTAAACGAATAAAACATTTGCAAATACATATAGTGTCATCAAAAACGTATTGATTAGAACAATTTCTTTATGAGAATGAGGCAGTACTCCCTCCAGGATGGGAGGTGGCGCTAAACTGCTGATAATGTTCGCGGAGGGATACTTAAGCAACCGGATCACTTCCTTTCAGCGTTATACCTGCGCTTTTCGTTGAAAGACAACTTCAGTCATCGAAAGAGATAAAACCCGATTTTTGAAAAATGCCAGTGTTTCTGAGGACCATCGCCCGCCGTGCTGCTCCGGTTCTGCGTAGCAACAGCGTCACGCAGACTGCGAACCTTTACTCCAGACCGGCGAAGGAGAAAATCGGCCCCTTTGTGAGTGTCGTTCCAAAGCTAACATGATGCTAACGGTTAGCATCTGTCCTTCACTGTCGAGGTCAAAAAAGTTCAGTCCGTGGGAATTCTTGCACCAAAATATTTTTCATTCAGTAAAAAATCCGCAGTTGCTTGATTAGTCGTTTAATCATGCTAATGTATATCGTTTGTATTGAAAGTAAATTTAACAGTATTCTCTTTCTGATTTTGCTAGGCCTAAACAAAAAGTGTTTAACACCGTTTTCCCTAAACACGAATAACTTTCTGAACTCAGACTCCTCAGATATTATTTATATTTTTAATTACACTGTTTATAAGGAGTTATCATTACGATCCAATGTTATTTTGTCACGTTAATATGATGAAAAATAATTATCGCTGATTAGGCTAATGCTAGCCTTTCACACATTTCAAAACTAACGTGAATTTAATAATTAAAAATGAGTTAGAAAAGCATCACATGGAATGATTTAAAGTAACATAAGGTGAAAATGAGATATGATGGACTATTAGAGCCTATTGAAACAAGAAGACCAGTTGATACAGCAGATACAGTCCATATTTATGTTTTAAAGTTATTTTTTTAATTTATTTATTTAAAAGGATTGAAAGAAAGAAAAGACAAAGTAAGACCCCAAAATATAAGAAATATACACAGAGCACATGGCAAAACACCCGGCCACTGTCTGTTCACCTGCAAAGAACTTGACAAAACACAGCAACAACATACATATGTATAAAGAACTTAAAATATTCATGGCTTTGCAGTAGGTTTCCATAAATATATATACCCATACCTACGCCTATATACATACATACATACATACACATGAATATACATTCATATACATATCTATATATCTACATATAAAGCCTACGTAAGCATCCCTGCATCTATTTGTATGTGGTTGTGAGCATGCATAAGTGTATAAGGCTTCTCTAATAGAACATTTAATAGTAACCGTGAAGCAGCAGAGACCCGACCCCCAAGACCAGAGGTAGACAACAGCAACAAACTCATAGGCCCCCGCCGCACCGATGCAGTTCCAGGCCCGGGCAACGAGGCCCGGGCACTGAGGACGCACACCACCCAGGCCAAGGCCTGACGGGGCCAGAGGTCTCGGGTACTCTGGCCACTTCAGATGTTAATCCAGTTGAAATTTTAAACAAGGAGCTGGAACAATTTGCCTTTGTGACCACTTGAGGGTGTCATTTCATAAAATTACAGCAAAACTTCTTCAAGAATCAAAACCCCCCAAATATCCTGTTGCTTTTAAATGTGCTTGCTTTTGATTCCTGATTGACCAACTAGCCTTAAATATGGAACATAGGAGTTGCTGTTTCATCCTTTTTGTTAGTTTTTCTTGTAAAATCTTACTGTCAGATTTTTAGGAGTTCTAAAACGTAAGATTTAATCCTGTTAATTAAATGATTAAACGTCCTCTCTGTTGTCCAGGAAACTATAATTGCAATTGGGCTGTTTGCCGGCGCTATCCTGGGACCGTCTGGATGGGTCCTGTCCCACCTTGAGGACTACAAGAAGAGAGAATAAATTGGACATGTAAACTGTCAAACCTCTGTCTCGTCCTGGGACCATCGTCGTAAAGATCCACAGCAGAGAAGAACCTGGATCAAATTTTATTGTCGTCTCTTCTACCTCTAACAGTTCAACTCAACATCCCACTTCTCTCAAAATGATGACTCTGAAACTTGATGCTTTGAAAATTGTATTGAACATCTTCCTCATAAGGAGTATGTTACATAATTAAAATATAAAACACAAAATGTTAGTTTCTTTTGAGTTTTTTAAATTACAATATTTTAACCAAATACACATTTTTCAATATTTTGATGGGAGTTTTGTGGCTTTTAATCTCAAATTCTGTAGGCTTTCAAAGGTGCTCTCATGGGTTCTTAAACACCAGTCGGTTGCACAAAGCATCTTGAATTCAAGTTTTATTTTTGGTTTGAGTTACGGATTGTTTGATGTTACAGAAACCAGTGTAACCCTTTCTCCACACTGAGAACGTTTGGGGTGAAATAGTTGGACTTCAGCAACTGAAGAGCATCTCAAACCGCCTTATTTTTATTATAAATAAGATAAAAAATGTATTTCAAGTCAGTTGATTACTAAATCTGTAGTATCCAACATTGTTTTTGCTCAGATTCATAAAATGGATTGATTTCAGATTGATTTGGGCTGTACAATATCTTACTAATTAAACTACTTATCAAACATTGACCTAAAGATTCATCATTAAACATTGTAGTTTAAAAAGGCATATAGTGATTCATTAAAAGATTAAGGAACCATAGAAGAGCACAATTAAAAAAGCAATTGGAGTATTTTGTACTGCAGCTCTGAGTCAAAAACCTGTATTTCAATTGAAACTATTTAAAAGTTATATAATTTGATGCTTTTAGTAATCACTTATTCTTAATTTAAAAAGCTTATCACCTTTACATTGATCTTGACCTAAAATTAGCTGAAATAAAAGAAAAGGCTGTTTACTACAACAGTAATTTGTTAATTGTATTTTAATTTTGACCTTTAAAAAAATTATTGGACTTTGGCATTTTTTAGGATCCTTTCTGCCAAATCCTAATCAGTGATTTATTCGTGATACGTGATTAGTTCTTTGACTAAAAGAATGTGTTGATACACAAGTTATCAATATTTAATGGCCAATAGTTGATCTACTTTACAAGTGCCCTCTGTGTGAGGTGGTAACCGGTAAAACCAAGAAAAAAAGAAACATTTGTTTAAAAACTGGGATTTCATCATTGCGTAAACTCTGAAATCAGTGAATACCTCAACAGTTCTCAACTATGAAGATTTAAAATAGAAGCAGGGCAAACATTTGATAAATGTTCATCTTCAGTTTGCTGCAGGATATTTACCAGCAGCCCATAATCTAGTACTGACCTCTTACTGTTGCATCAGAGATGAAAGGCTCCAGCTGGATAGAAGTGATCTCAGACTGATGAAGTCCTTTGGATGAAACGTTTCAACACAAACCGTCCAGATCAGGGTTCTGCAACCTTTACGTTCCAAAGAGCCATTTCTGCCCTTTCACTAAATTAAACGTGTCCAGAGCCACAAAACCTGCTACAGTTGTCATTTTAACTGGTGGCCCATGGACAAGTGGACTTTTCTGCCCTGTAGGCATGAAATTAAAAAACTAAAAAAATCTGTTTTATTGATATTTTACATTTTAAGACAAAAGAAAAGACTGGATTCCATCCATCCATCCATTGTCTTTACCCCTTTCAACCTTTTTCAGGTTGCAGGAGGTGCCCATATTCAGGTCGCAAGTCTATCACAGAATTAATTTTTTTCTAGAACAGTGCTGTGCATTGAACTGGGCTTATGCAATAAAAAAAAAAAGAGTAATTGAGTATCTTATTTTGAAGAAATAAAGTTAAAGTGAGTATAATTTACGCTGTGTATTAGTACTTGTAATACATATTACAGATGTGTATATATATATACAGATATATATATATATATATATATGTATGTATGTATGTATGTGTGATATATGTGTATACAGATATACACATATTTGCAAAGGAAATGACAGGAAAACTGCTAAAACTAGTCCTTTTTTGTTGCGAGTATAACATCCTATAAAATTAATGTTTATGTTAGTTTTGGTCAAAGCTTGAAAGAGCCACAGCGGAGGGACCAAAGAGCCACATGTGGCTCCAGAGCCGCAGGTTGCAGACCCCTGGTCCAGATTACCTGATTATGTTTGTTGGATTTTTTTTACCTGGATTACTGAACATGAACTTTGATATTCTTTTACAGACAGAAGTATTTTGTAAAACTCTTTCCCTAACAACAAATCCATTTTTCTGACATGTTTTCCGTTGACTCTGTTGAAAAGGACCAAGCAGAGCAAATGGTTTAACATAATTACTTTAATAGGTGTTTTTCCCAGTATAACATCAGAATCAGAATAAGCTTTATTATCATTGTACTGGGATACAGTGAAATTATGTTCCTAGTCGTCCGACAGATTGGCGGAGTGCATGTTTCTGCTGCTAAAAACGCTGCCCCTTATTCTTTATCTTTTCTTTAACATCTCACTGACATTGGAAAATAATACTCCAAACACAAAGCTTAAATAATGCTCAATAATCCAGGTATACAATCCAACATTTTTCAGTCATTGTCATCTGGACAGTTTCTTTTTATTTTTGTGCTGAAATGTTTCGCCTTTGGTCCGGAAGGCTTCATCAGTCAAGGAAACACACAACAAAACTGATTTTGTTGTCCACTGCTACCCACTGAGCAAGGAGACGTCGAAACAACGTCTTTTTAAAGTTATTTTTTCACGTCTAATTTGGGTCCCTCCCAGGTGCAGACTGTTACGACAGACCACGTCTTTTTCCGACGTCCACTGGACGGTCAATATAGACGTATTTTCTACATCAAAATTTAACTTGTTTTATTCACTTCAGATAATAATACAACTAGTAAGTGCTTCGTGTTGTCTTCATTGTATGTTCCCATGCAGTGTTAAACACATTCACCCTCAGCTGGATGTTGGAACGACTGGGGTTCGATCCCAGGACCTTCGGGTTAGAGTCGGCTACTCTAAGAAATTTCTAAGAAACATTATATTTGACCATCTATTGTGCAACAGGAAACTACACTATAGATACTAGGTTTACAATTAAATCATCACTCCTTAAATGTCACTAGAAACAGATGGACTAAGTTTTACAAATAAATCACAGTTTGTTTCCTTTATCCTCTTTACTGGATTAACAGAAATAACTTCGAGAGAAAATAGCAACTGTTGGTTTATGAATGAAGCCGTGCAAATTTATAATCATAAAAGAGTAACTGTGCAAAGTGATTGTGATTATGATCGTAAATTTTATGGTTATAAAAATTATGATTCACTAAGACACACCTACACCTGTCTTGGATGTCTATACGACCACTTTATATCGATGTACAAGTGACGTCATGGTTAGACGTCCAGAGTGGACCTTGCTTGCACGTCGTGGAGACGTCCAGAACCGACGGACTCAATATAAACGTGATCTGCACATCCATTCGACGTCTAAATGTTTAATGGGTATATCTTGTATGTAAGGAATATTGATAAACTTTGTCAGCTTTTTTTTTTATTTTATTTTTTTTTGCATTTTGCTTTATGCCAATGAGCTGAGATTTTTATATTGATTACAAAACAAAATTGTATTTTGTGATGAGAGCTGAAAATCACTTTTCAGTCAGTTAAATTGTGGTCATGATTTTTGTGCGGTAGATAACACACAATGTATAAATGTTTTAAGAATTTTCAAGCGTTTCCCATAAAGATAGTAATATCAGAAAAACAAGAAACGATGTGAAAACAAATAAAAACGAACATTAGTTGTTTTATCCGTTGTTATACTTTTTGGCCCTCACGGCTTCCCACACATCACCCTTTAAAGTCACGTGACCGGCAGCCGATCATGTGATCGAAAAGCAAACTATTTACAGAGTTCCCGTTTGAGAAAACATATTTTTTGTTCGGAGCTAGTGTTGTTAATAGCAAAAGAGCTGTTTTAGATGAACTGCAGAATAAATTAAAATATTACTCGACGTTACAGAGCAGCTCGTGCTAACGTTAGCTCAAAATTCAGTTTTTCTCGTCACTTTTTAAATAAGAGTTTAATTAGCACAATGAGGCTGGTGATTCTGGACGACTATGACCTGGCCAGTGAATGGGCAGCTAAATACATCCGGAACCGGATAATCCAGTTCAATCCGTCCGCAGAAAAATACTTTACTCTGGGTTTACCAACAGGTTAGCTTCGTTTCTTTGTCGTTCTCTTTTTTCTTTGTTGCAAAAAAAAAAGTATTTTAAAATATTGTTTATATATTTTTTCAGGCAGCACTCCGTACGGCTGTTACCGGAAGTTAATAGAGTTTTACAAAAGTGGAGATCTGTCTTTTAAATATGTGAAAACCTTCAACATGGATGAATATGTTGGTGAGTTTGAACCACGCCTGCACAGTCCTGTCAAATTGTGCTGTGTTTCTGATTAAAATGTAGGAAAATAGTCATGTTTGTTTATTTTATCTGTAGATAGATAGATAGATAAGAATCTCCAAGGTGTAGTGGTCATCATTAACTGGTTATATTTATTTGATTTTAAAAATAATGTTCTCTTTAGAGCTTGAGGAGTTATTGATTCTGAAATATCTCATTGTCCATCATTAAAACCTTGGAAACAGCCCATGCCATACTACAGTATCTCACAAAAATGAGTACACCCTTAAGTGAAAATGCCCAAACTGTGCCCAAAGTGTCAATATTTTGTGTGGCCACCATTATTTTCCAGCACTGCCTTAACTGTCTTGGGCATGGAGTTCACTAGAGCTTCACAGGCCGCCACTGGGATCCTCATCCACTCCTCCATGATGACATCACAGGGCTGGCAGATGTTAAGAGATCTTGCGCTCCTCCACTTTCCATTTGAGGATGTCCCACAGATGCTCAATAGGGTCTAGGTCTGGAGACATGCTTGGTCAGTCCAACACCTGTACCCTCAGGTTCTGTAGCAAAGCATTGTCAGTCTGGGAGGAGTGTTTGGGGTTATCATGTTGGAATACTGCCCCGTGGTCCAGTTTCTGAAGGGATGGGATCATGCTCTGCTGAAGTATGTTCAATGAACTGTAGCTCCCCACAGACCCAAACCGTGACACTCCCACCACCAAGCTGCACTGTAGGCAAGACCCACCATCAATTACTCCTCACCTGGTTGCCGCTGCTTACGCTTGACACCATCTGAACCAAACAAGTTCATCTTGGTCTCGTGGTTCCAGTAATCCATGTCCTGTGGTCTGTTTGTCTTCAGCAAACTGTGGGCTTTCTTGTGCATCTTCTTTAGAAGAGGCTTCCTTCTGGGTCGACGGACCAATTTGATCCAGTTTGTGTCATATGGTGTGAGCGCTGACTAAACTAAGGTTTGGTCCTGCAGGTTTGCCTCGTGCTCATCCAGAGAGCTATCACTCCTACATGTGGAACAATTTCTTCAAACACATCGACATCGATCCAGCCAACGCCCACATCCTGGATGGAAACGCTGAGGACCTGGAGGCTGAGTGTCAGGTGTTTGAGCAGAAGATCACAGAGGCCGGAGGAATCGATCTGTTTGTTGGAGGTAAACATGTCGCAGACATGAGCTGATACATGTGCAGTATTGAAAAGTTTACCTTCTGTTACCAACCTGATCAGATTTCCATCATGTTCTCTTAGAACAGCTCTGATCAGTTAATGGGAATGTTTCTGTAGGCATTGGTCCTGATGGTCACATAGCGTTCAATGAGCCCGGTTCCAGCCTCGTTTCAAGAACCAGAGTGAAAACGTTGGCAAAGGACACAATTCTGGCGAATGCTCGTTTCTTTGGCCACGATCTCTCCAAGGTTCCCACCATGGCTCTGACTGTGGGGGTGGGGACTGTCATGGACGCCAAGGAGGTCAGACAAGTTTGTTGCTGAATGATTAAATCACAGTCCTGTTCAAAAAGTCCTAATCCAGCCCTCATTTCTTTAGATTTTCATTTGAAGCAGCCAGACACTCCCGTTATCTTTTCAAAGTGGTCTGGATCAATAGTTAGTCTTTCTGCAGGTCTTAGGTAGCTCAACACACAAAAACACGGCTCTGAAAATGGTCTCAGGGACTCAAACTGAGTGAATAGATATTGATCAAGGCTGCTTCAAAGATGACGTCTGGCTGCTTGGAAGGAAGATGAAAGAAATGAGGACTGAATCAGGACTTCGGCGTTTGTATCCTTGCACTTGTTTAAACCTCATACTTTTGCTCAGACTACAAGAGTTGTTCGTTTCTTGGATCCCAGCAGGAAGTGACATCACTGACTGCTTTTCTCCCTTCAGGTGATGATTCTGATCACAGGGGCTCACAAAGCCTTCGCTCTGTACAAAGCCATCGAGGAGGGCGTTAACCACATGTGGACGGTGTCTGCCTTCCAGCAGCACCCCCGCACCATTTTCGTCTGTGACGAGGACGCCACGCTGGAGCTGCGGGTCAAAACTGTCAAATACTTCAAAGGTACGAGCCGCACCTGAGAGGAGACGCCGAAGAGCAACCGAGGCTTGCTGCGTCAACTCTGATTCACTCGGCTGTTTTCCTCTTCTTTATTTTTCTCTGCAGTTGAACTACTTCTGCAGACTTTGTGCTGTTTTAGCTGCGCATTAATCAAAACGTTCAGCTCATTCAGGAGATGAGTTCTATGACTCTTAGTTTTTGTAACTCGTATTTTTTGTAAACAATCAATTTAATTTTAATTCCGTTAAGAAATGCGTTGGGTTCTCTTAAATTCCTTACGGTTCTTTCAAATCTGCTTCAGCTACTTGCTCTGTTTTTGTCTTTTTAAGCTACTTTTAGTTCTTACCAAATATTCTGTTACTTTTAGCAAGACTTGTTTTTCTACATAAGGCTTTTAGCCAGACTTTTATCTTATCTTTTTGCTGCTTTTAGCTCATCTTTAGTTGCTTTTAGCTAGCCTTTGCTACTTTTTGCCACATTTTTGCTTCTTTTAATTCATATTTCTCTTATTTTCGCTACCCGTGTGCTTCTTTTAGCTAGTGTTTGGCTATCATTTAGCTGTTTTTTTCGTGTTTTACAGCTTTTTTTCTTTAGTAAATTTCAGCAGTTATTCAGCACCAGCATTCACATCACATTTTAGCAGAAAATACAATTCTATAGTTTTTATTTGATCATTTTTAACATATTGGATCATTTTTGTGCTGCAGAGACCGTCTGTCTGATATTAACGTGATTTTTATTCATGAATTTTAGGGTTGATGCACGTCCATAATAAGCTTGTGGACCCGGTGCTCAGCATGAAGAACCAGTGAAAGAAAGAAAACGGAAGAGGCTGCAGGATTCATCTGAGGAGCCAGAGTTTGACTTGCTGTTACTTTTGGTTTTTATCTGCCTTCATTGTTGCCATCAGGCCGTTGCAGATCATTACCGAGAGCTCGCTGCTCACGTTTGTGTTCGAACTGTTCCAATGAAACTAGTTATTTCTTTTACGGCTCTGTGTTTAGGATTTGAAGAGATGTGAGAGTAAAGATGAAAATGGTTCAGATCCAGACTTCCTGAAGGTCTTTTAAAGGTCCGACACAAGGACTGAAACTGATGGGGGATAAAAGCCGCCAGCGTCCAAACGAGTTTTAAAAGTTCTTCAGAAAGCCTGGAGGACCACTGATCCAAATCACTTTAACAATAACAAAAAGTCTGTGCTCAGGAGGAAAATATAACAAAATAAGGATTAGAATTCAGTTTTAAGTTAGATTTATCTTCAATGTATTGATGCTCTGAAGGAAAAAGGGACTGCTGTTTATTCTTGGATCTATTGAAATAGGAACTGGTTTAAAATTATTTTCTTCGACGTTTGGTCTTTGTGATTTTTTTTGTCAGATGAATGATGTTTCTTTGCTCACTTCTACCTTTTTGTGCACTTCCCAACTATTAGGAAAAAAAAAAGTTGAAATAAAAGACTCCCAAGAAATGAGATACAATTGAAAAGCTTTAATTCAGGCTAGAAAGAGAAATCCAAACCGAGTCCAACAGTGGTTTCATCTAAATGCATTTTACAGACTGAGTTGGTTCTTGATGATAATTCCTCTTTTTTTCTCATGTGAATCTGCTCCTTACAGTCTTGAGAAAAAGCAGAACGTTTGTGTTAAAAGATAAAAACGACCTGAATCATGAGAATCGCTCAGCTGTTTATCACCAGCACTCCTCCTTCGCTGGATTTCTAACATGTTTGCACATTTTTCCAACATGATTAGTACTTTGTTGGTTTTTGTTACATTCCCTCCCTGCTTTGTTTCATTTATGAGCCCTAAGATGTTTTATTTTGCACATACATGCACTGTAATCGGCCTTTATTCTAAATTAGGAATCAAACATCTTTGCTAACGGTGTTTTTAATTATTGCTTTGTTTCTGATATGCAAAATAAAGGTGAGCAGACTCAGGATGCTGTCTCAGAAATTGTATTATTATGTCGGCATAGCTGAACTTCTTACTTTTCCATTAGTTCAAATGCATTAATACAGTTTTCCCACAGTGAGGCAGTCAATCCAAAGCTTCAACCACAAGTCGTCAGAAAACCTCAATAAAGGAGTTTTTAAAAGAATGAAACAAGACATTAAACCATGTTTAATAACATATTTTATTTCCAGAACAATTACCGTAAGAATTTTTTTGTCATGGAACAAACATTTTAAATAATTAGCGTAATAGAGTTTTATTTGGAGCAATTCCAAATACTATTTTAATCATCTTTACAGACATGTTTTAAAGAAGCGCCTGATTTATGCTCCAGTTTTATAATTGTTTGGTGCGTGGTACTTGTCAGAGCAATGCTGAGGTTGTGAGTTCAAGTCTCACCTGGAGCAGACTTAAGGTTGGCTCAGTGGGAACCAGGAAGTTACAGGTTTGATTCCCTGCCAAGTCCATATGTGGTATCCTTGAGCAAGGCGCCAAACTGCTCCCTGATTGTTCAGATGGCTTCCTGCTGTGCATCTCATGTCATTATTAGTTGTATGGTCACATACAACATGACAACACAGTACTTTAAAGAAATCTACGATTTATTGTTGACACAAAACCTTGTTTTTTCTTAAATTAGTTTTTTGTAGATTGAACGCAAGTTACTGAAACAAAATACCTTTTTCATACATTTTTATTTTGTTCAAACTTTTATTCTTTTGGTGACATAAATGTTTTAAAAAAGATTCACCTTGCTTCAAGATTCAGTGGCGGATTTAAAAGCCCCTCTGTAAATAATGAGCAGATTGTTAGGACCAATCAGAGTAGAGCTTTTCAGGAGGCGTAGCCTTAGGAACAAAATTTATTTTGCTGCAACAAAACAAAAAATGAGAAATATTTGAATTTTCAACAGTTTTTATTATTTTAAAGTGGGGTGCCTCAGGTGTTCATTCTTGGACTCGTTTATTTTCTACATATACACGTGGCTTACATGGTTTCAGTTGTGTTTTTTCACTGTTGTGCAGATGATGCTCTGATTTACCTTAAAGCCTAAATATTTTTCAGATGCACCGGTTTAGCTGAGGTTATCAAGAGGATGGCTTTGAATCACTTGTAGCTAAATAAAACGGAAGTGCTGATGATTGCCTCAAAACATGTTCAATATTCTGAAGTTCAATGGCTCTCAAGCTGGTCACAGAATTACCTACAGGCTTTTGTGTGTTTTTCTGTCAACAGTGGAACCCTCCTGGGTCTTCTTTCCTGGAGCTCATTATAATTTTAAAATAAAAATGATAACCATGATCTTGGAGTTTAGCTTGAATGCTTTCTTTGGCTCTTTTTCTATAATTGGCACTATTCATTTGATCAACCTTGAGTTGCATTTCCTTTTGCGTCCATCTCCTGAAAGGTTGGCTACAATCACACAAACCTTCTATTTATTAGTAATAATGACAGCGGTGGTCAGAGAAACATAAATACGATTGGAGATGGTCTTAGAGCTTTTACCTTTGACATGGGCTTATATATATATATATATATATATATATATATATATATATATATATATATATATA